AAATCTAGGAAAGTTGCTTAAATGGAAGTTGGTGAAGTCTAGCTTTGGTAAACCTAGATTTTTGCACTGAGTCTCAATACCTTGTTTATGGCTAAGTCTTTTTTATTTGACACCTACTTCAGTGGTTTAGTTCATGGCTATTGTCACTCACACTGTTCCAGCTATACTGCTAGGGAAGAATACAAATTGATAAGTCTCTTTTCTAAAGCCTTCAACTTCTCCATATTCAAAAATTCAAGAGTCTATACTATTTATATCACCTGCTTGTACCTAGGATAATTGTTTGTAACATGCTACGCACTGTGCTAGGTGCAAGGGAATACTACAACAACAAGTCAGGCATAGTCTCCACCCTCAATGAATATATTCAGGGATAATAAAAAGTAATCCATTGCATTATGGCCTGAAAACTTCTCTGACAAAGAAACATTCTCAGACTTAAGGGTACCGAGGAATCTGAGTTCTCAGGGAAAAGCAGGCACAGGTGAGGGAAAATAGCATAAAAGATTGTTCTTTAGGATACACAAGCTTGGTGAGATTTGAGGTACTAGCACTAAAAGAGTAATGAAAAACAAAGTGGGCAAAATCAGCAAAGGTTAGATCATGGTAAGGAATCTGGACTTGACCTTGAGAAGCAGGAAGCCATTGAAAGGATTTATCCAGAGGAGTGAGTGACATGATCTGGTTTTGCATTTTAAAGAATTTCCTTTTGGAGCTGAAATTGATAGGAGGACAGGAAATACTGGAGGCAAGGAAACCAGTTAACTGTTGTAGTTCCTGTGTAAGAAATGACTGTGGCTGAACCATGGAAAGATAAAATGCACTCTGTGTACATGTGCATGCAAAGGATTAGTAATGTTAAGAATCAGACAAATGGGGGTGGCACCTGTGGCTCAAAGGAGTAGGGTGCCAACCCCATATACCCAAGATGGCGAGTTCAAACCTGGCCCCAGCCAAAAACTGCAAAAAAAAAAAAAGAATCAGGCAAATGAAAGAGAACAGAAGTCAAAAATGGTGCTTAGGTTTCTGATTTAGGTAACTGGAGGGAGAGTTACAGTGCCATTCAGTGCCCTACTGGAAGCTGGGGGGGGGGGCACTTAGAACATGATAACGTGCCTTTGAGATGTCCAACAGACAGTGGGAGGTACTCTAAAACTCGGGTCAGAGGTCTAGAAGTATAGGCTTGGTAAGTCCTCAGCAATCAGCAGAGAATAAAGGCCATACAAAAGAATGCATGGGACCTAGAACAAAACTCTAACCAATACCAACAATTAAGAGATGGCGAGGTGGGAGTGGTTAGGGAGCCACAGAGGAAAGTGAGTGGCAGAAATAAAATCCAAAGATATGAGGCCATGGACACCGTGTATTTCTATGAAGAAGTGCTTAAAAATGCCCAACTGACAAATCAGTTCAAATGATTGAGCCTATAATCCCAGCACTCTGGCAGACTGAAGCGGGTGGACTGCTTGAGCTCATGAGTTCAAGACCAGCCTGTGCCAGAGCAAGACCCCGTCTCTAAAAAAGTAGCCAGGTGGCTCGGTGCCTATGGCTCAAGTGGCTAAGGCACCAGCCACATACACCTAAGGTGGCAGGTTTAAATCCAGCCCAGCCCACCAAATAACAATGACAGCTGCAACTAAAAAATAGCCAGGCATTGTGGCGGGCACCTGTGGTCCCAGCTACTTGGGAGGCAGAGGTAGGAGACTCGCTTGAGCCCAGGAGTTGGAGATTGCTGTGAGGTGTGATGCCACAGCACTCTACCCAGGGTGACAGCTTGAGGCTCTGTCTCAAAAAAAAGTAGCCAGGCATTGTGGCAGGCACCTGTAGTCCCAGCTACCCAGTAGGCGAGGCAAGAGAATCACTTGAGCCCAAGAGTTTAAGGTTGCTGTGAGTTATGATGCAACAGTACTCTACCGAGGGTAACAAAGTTAAGACTCGGTCTCAAAAAAAAATAAAAAGAAGACTAAGTATAAAACACTAAAATCAGCAATACAATAATCATAGTTGGTCTTGACAAGGAGGAGCATGAAGGGAGCATCAAGGGAATAACGGGGCTGAAGCCAGTGTAGCAAACCAAACCGAGACTAACAGAAGGGAAGGAAAAACAAACAAATTTTAACTATGAAGGAAAAGGAGATGGGATACTGAAGAGTGAGGAATGTGGGCTTGAGGGAGGGCTGTGTGTATGGGTGAATAGTTGTTGTTGTTTGAGACAGAGTCTCATTCTGTCGCCCTGGGTGGAGTACTGTAGCATCACAGCTCACAGTAACGTCAAACTCTTGGGCTCAAGCGATTCTTTTGCCTCAGCCTCCCAAGTAGGTGGGATTATAGGCACTGGATGGATAGTTTTTAAAATGAGAGAGACCTGGTCATAATCAGAAAAAAGGCAAGGAACAAACAAACAGGTTTCATGGCAGAAAGCTGAGGTAATCTTGCTCTGTGAAAAATGTGGCAAGGTCATCTACAGAGCACAGGTGTAGTCGGGGTGGCAGAGAAGGGGTTTAAAAAAAACAAAGAAGCCACCACGAAACAAGAATGCTACTCGAGAAAAGGCAGGAGGGGCAGTGCCTGTGGCTCAGTGAGTAGGGGGTGTATACTGAGGGTGGCAGGTTCAAACCTGGCCCCGGCCAAACTGCAACAAAAAAAAGCCAGGCGCTGTGGCGGGCATCTGTAGTCCCAGCTTCTCGGGAGGCTGAAGCAAGAGAATCACCTAAGCCTATGAGTTGGAGGTTGCCATGAGCTGTGTGACATCACAGCATTCTACTGAGGGCAGTAAAGTGAGACTCTGTCGAAAGAAAGAAAGAAGAGAGAAAGAGAGAAAGAGAGAGAGAGAGAAAGAGAGAGAGAAAGAGAGAGAGAAAGAGAGAAAGAAAGAGAGAAAGAAAGAAAGAAAGAAAGAAAGAGAGAGGAGGAATTGCTGGGCAATGCTGAGAGACTGGATGAAGCTGCAGATTAGGAAATCAAGGCAACTTCAGCTCTCCAACTATGCAA